TTAAAATGCTTTAGCCAATATTTTTTATTACAAATTTTTTTAGCAAGTTCAAGTGTAGAAAATTTGTAATAATAAAACAACATGCAAAATTTTAATTTTATGTAGGTCAAATAGTAAAAAATTATACAACGTATATGAAATTTATATATGTGTATAAGTGTGTTTATTGTAAATTTTCTGAGTTATAATAAATATTATAAGAAAATTAGCTATGTAAATGTAATTTTGATGGCTACAATATAAAGTGGTCCAAAAATTTTTTTTTTCTTATATTTTACAGAATTTATTATATGTACCCTATGTATGTGTAAAATGTCGCCAGATTTATAGAAAATATTTTCTATAATAAATTATACATATATTTTTTTTTTGTTTTTGTATTGCTATTATTTTTAAGTTGTATAGATAAATTATATACAAAAATAGTTTTTATGAATGCTTTTCGGAATAAATTATAATAGAAATATAATATTATGTAAATACAAAACATTTATACATACAAACATTCATATATAAAATATTTAATTTATTAAAAAAAACTAGTATTTTTATTTAGATTGAGTTATAAGCTTTCCAAAACTAATTACTGTGATTGAATATCAATATAGACTTACATGTGTATAAAACATTTACTTCTAGAAATCGATAGTATAGGTATATGTGGAATTGTTATACGTTACATGCATTCAACTTTATGTTATTATATTTTTTTACAATATTAATAAGGAAGTATGAGCACAAATATTTATATGAATGTAGCAGATCATTAAATGTGTCTAATATCCTTCGAATTATATTAAAATTTAATTATAATGATTCTTTAATTTTATTTAATTAACATAATGTTTTTTTTCATATTAACAGAATTTATTTGAAATTTTCGGTAATTTAACACCAATGGTGAATATAATTAAATCTAAATTTTTATTCGAAAAATTTTCAAGATTTCTGTAAAAATGCACAGAATTTTATTTAATTTTAAGAAATTACAAATTTTGCAACACACTCGATTTATGATTATATCAGTTACCAAGTATATTTATTTTAAATTTATTTTATTGATACTATGGATTTCCTTTATTATTTTACAAAAAAATATTTTATAATTTACATAATTTGCTTTGCAAGCTATTTCTCGTAGCTTAAAATTCCGAACAGGTTATACTTAAATATTTGAGATTTCACGGAATTTCCGGAAAATTTGCAAATTGCTTAAACTACACATATTGCCAGTAACTTAAATAACTCTTATTTAGCGACTACATAATATAATATCACTTTTTTATATATACGTATATATATAGGGTATTGTCAAGCTTAATTTTTGATATACATACAAATGTTTGCATAGAAAATAACTTTAAGATATAAAATTGCGAAACACCTGAATAAATTTCTCGATTAAGCTAGTTTTCTGGATATTTGAAAAAAAAAAAAAAATTAAGCTTGATTTTTTGTTAAATTAATTATTGATGTGTATGTATGTACGTATGTATTTAAATATTATAAAATAAAATAATTAAAAAGTTATTTTAATTAACTGAAAATTTAAAATGTATAAGAAGAGTTTAGATCAGTTACCAGTACAAACAGTGGACATTTTAAAATTAAGAATAATCATGTATTAACCCTTATTAAAGGTGGAATCGTTTTTGTTACCGTGATGGAATTTAAAGACACTGTAATGATTTTAAATTCGAAATCCGACAATTAAAAATTCGGAATGAATATTTGAAAATAAAGTCAAATTTTAATGTTAAAAATATCGATCAATAGACTAATAACAAATTATTATATAATTATCATTAAAATTCATAATGAAACAGAGCTGTAAAACTTAAATTTTAAGTTATAACTCTTAACATGTTCGTACAGTCTTTTATATGTATATGTAAGTATATAAGTATAAAAGTATGTAAGCTTAAAAAGTTTTCAAAAATCAAACGTAGTCATTTAATTATCATTTTATTGCTAATTCACAACTATATTGCGATACATTTTCAAATTTATAAATTAACAAATTGTTTCTGTACAATTTTTTTACACATTTTACATACAAATTTAATTACGCATTTTTTACCATAAATATAGTTTCCGTTAAACTTCATGTGTAAAGTTTAATTTTGCAAAATATCATGAAATTTTTGGAAAGATTTCTTGAATTCCGATTTATACAAAATGAAATTCATTGAAAATTTTGCAAAGAATCAGTAAAATCTTCTAAAACATACTTATACATATTATGTAATTGCTGGTATACTTGATTATACAAGCACGAAAACACATTATATTTGCGAGTTTATCCAAAATTAAGAATAGACGAAAAGAATTTGATCTTTTGGAAGAGGTAAAATAAATTATGATTATTTATCTACATAATATTAACCTTTACCATGCAAATCTAATGCAATTATGTAGTTCATTAAATAAATACATAATTGAAAATAAAATATTATTTAAAAATTAAAAACTAAATGTGTACATACAGTATATAAGTGATTCATTTTTTCAAATAACAGCAAGTCATTATATGGTTGTTACTTGAAGATATGAAATAAAAAACAAGTTGATTAGCAGCATATAATCTCTACTAATATTATTATTATTATTATTATATAACATACTCACATATTGACATGTATACATAGATTTACCATTATATTAAAAATATTATATCGAAGGCTATAACTCACTTAGCGCATCTATAATGCATTTATTTGATTATATTTTGTAATATTTATTAAAAATTTTATATTTAAAATAATAAACTTTGTATTTAAACTTGAACTATTCTTAAGTTTTGCACTTTCAATTTTATAATATTTAATTTTACTTGAATTTTATTGTACAATTTGTTTATTTAATTTTGAATTCATTCACATTTTTATCGTATTATTTTTTTTTAAATAATTTATGTATGTATGTCAATTTAAAATAAATAACAAGAAAAAAAGACATAACTAGATTTTATAAATTCACTTATTTATTTTCTTACAGCTTAACAATATAATTAACCTCAGTCATCATCTCAAGTTATATAATTTGTAAAAAGCAGAATAGTAACTGAAAAGTTAAAAGATCTTTAAAAACTAAAAATACAAATATAAAAATAGAATAATAATTGATATGTATTTCCCCCGAAATTAATTACAATTTATATGCAGAATTTATTAGTTAAAACCAGTTAATATATAAAGGTAATTAAATGAAATCACTATACGTAATATGTGATATTACACTTGCAATGATAATCCTAATATCTTTATATATTTAGTGTTATATTGAATAAACAAATTATTAATGATCGCATCAAATAAGAAGTTTATTGGTACGTAATCGAAACGCAACTAAAGTTAAGTTTAAGTAGAATTTTGAAGATTTTTATAAAAGAGATGCAAAGCGATAAAATGAAAAAAATGAAAGTATCTACATTCAACAATTCTTCGATTAAATCGATGGTTCTCGAAAATTTCACCATCAATATTCGTTTGTAGAACCATTCTGTTTCCTACAGGTATGTATATATTTCATTTTACGTTTAATACATAATTTATTTTTTGCAATATATATATAAAATTTTGCGATATTTTATATAACTTTATATTACTTTATATTTTATATTACTACCATTATTTTATTTACTACTACGAGAATTGATGTTGCACAAAGCAACATAATTATTTTGCATAAAATCAAATGCAAATATAGTTGACCTTTTCAAAAACGCAGCATATCGCGATGTAAAGTCAACACTTTTGTTTATGAACGAATTATCCTAGTCAATTGTATTTATTAATATTGTTAATTTCTCGCAATGTAGCAAAATTTTATAACAGAGTAAAAAATATATTGCAAAGACATCACATTATGTTTTTGTAATATTGAGTTTATATAAAAATCTCTTTAGTATTGTAGCACAGACATTATAAATTTATATAACTGAAAAATATTTTATAATTTTAACAAATCAATGTCGGTTATTGTATAAATTAAAAAAAAAAACAAAATGTGATAAAAATTTTAAAATGTTCATTAATTGATTAAAGTTCTCTATAAATCTTACATATATGTATATGTATAGTTAATGTGAAAAAAATAACCATGCATTAAGTCGTTAAAAAACAGTATTTATTATAAATGCTAATTAAAGTGATTCATCGCATTTTTGTGTCTGAGTTTTAAAATTTGTATTATAATTGAAAAATTTGTTTTTACTCATAAAGGTTTATTTTATAATCTTTAAGTAGTGTTTAATTCACAGATTTATTTCAAATCTAATTTTAAATAAATGCGAAAAGCCCCAAAAAATTTTAATGTATGTATATCTAATAAGTATACCTACTATAAAAAGCGAACATCCGCCTCACCCAATATGTGTATAACAATAATTTCCTCTTCATAATTATTTATTATACATATAGAACCTCATTTACTGGTTTTAATTAAAAAAAATTTTATTTTTTTTTTGGTATGTAAATTTTGTAAATCGAAAAAATTAGTAGTTTTTTTTATTATTTATGTTTTTTTCTAATTTTAAAATATACAAAATTACATTAATATTACATTAATTTGCTTATGTATATAGAGTGTGTAAATTGTTCATACATTAACATAATTATTTTATTTAATTATATACACATAGCTACACTTGTTTTAATTATAACACAAAAAATTACTCCCATAAAGATGACTGAGGTTAATGAAGCATTTTAAAATAAAATTAAGTAGATGCCACGGCATAAATACTTAAACGGCATAAGTATTTTTTTTTAACAATATTTTTTTTACAATTTTAGATTAAATAAAAAATTAAATGACCTTGAAACATGCTTATTATTTTGATTTCAAATTATGAACTTACATATGTACGTATATAAGTAGATAAATTTCTTTTATTTAAATTTTTAAATTATTTATTGAAAATTTTCATTTATTATTAATTTTATTAATTTTTTTCTTATCAAATTTAAATAAATTTTAATATACTCGTCTTAACTTACCACCACCACCACCAACCAATTACAGTTTTTAAATTTTATATTTTATTTTAATAATTTATCTTTATATCAATACTTATTTCAATTTAGTATCATAATATTTTTTTTTGAATAATCATTTGCCAGGGTAGTTAAATTTACACAAACATGTAGGTAATTAACATGTACTTAAATAATTTTTTTTTTATTTTTAATAAACACTGTTAATGGTTAAAGTTTGCATACAATATAAAAATATTTATAATCACCGAAAACAAAAAAATGTGAAAAAGAAAAATGAATTTATTCACGAAAATATGCAAAAAAAAATTAAAACACAACTTCACGCAATGAACTCTAAAATAAAACTGTTATGCGATATAACCGATATTATTTGAGATTGTTAGTTAAAAAAAAAGAAAAGAAAACAACAGCGACGATAATAATAATGAGAAAAAATATAACTAAAATCTTACATTTAAAACTATATTCAAATACATATACATATATACCAATATGTATAGATGTATGTATGTATTTTAATATCACGGTTAAAATTTTATTTTGTCGCTGCTCAATTCAATATATGTAGTATGTTTGTACATACATACATACATAATAAAAAATAACAACGCTATTATAACTAATGTATTTTTGTATTCGCATTTATGTAAATATAATATAGTAATTAAGTATATATATATGTATGAATACATGCAGTTACTATAAAGACCTACTACTACAGTAGTAAGGTATAAGTTTAACAATACTCGTAACAGAACAGTTTTGTTTCTTGCTATTGTTCTTGTTTTTTTTTTATTATGATTACCTTTTAACTTTATTTGTATTTCAGGTGGTGAATTTTTGAGTAAAAATGAGAGAAAATAAACAAAACACAATCGAAAAACAAATTTTAATGATAGTTTAGATTGTTGTTGGTCTTTTTAACTCTTAAATATTGTTTTTGTTAATTTTGATTTTTAACACCTGTAAGCATTACAAAATAACTGTAAGGTGCTCATATTGTATAGTAGATCTTTGTTTGTACAGGCTTAATTTATATTTTACATTGTTTAACATTATTGTGAATGTTATTTCGAATAATAAAATAACTGTAAATGTACATTTATAAAAGTTAAATTTTAAAATACATAATCTTGTAAAAATAAACTTTTACTCTCTATTATACATGTATAACATTATAAAATGTGTTTTAAACTATAACTATTTAGATTTTTAAAATTGAACTTAATAAATATAATAGATAATAATAAATATAAAATAAGATTGCCAACTGACAATAAATATTGCAGAAGAATAAAAATAATTGAAAATATAAATGTAAAATTAACATACGAATACGTACATACATGAATGTATATAATTTTTTATATATATATATTAGTTCTAATGTGGACGGGGAATGTATTTTTCCAAAGAATTATGCTATTATCAGTTAACAATAAAATTTTATATCTTAGCACATATAACAGTTTAAATATATTATAACACGGTAGTATATATATATATAATACTACCATTTGCATTATTCTATATAGAAAGAAGTAGTTGAGAGGAATGGTTAGTTATTAATTTTTTAATAAAAACAATGTTTCATTTTCAAATGCTGCTATCAACTACTTTAAAGTATAGCAACTATGCAAAAAAAACATTCTTATTAGGATATTTTGCACTGACATGCATATGTATATGCAAATGTTATGATTAAAATAATTGAGTCTTTTTTTTTTGAACACGTCACTGTTATGTACTGGACTTACAATATATTTGGATATAAAGCGTATCATGTCCAAGTTTTCTATATATAGAATAAATACATTAAGGATGTTTAACTATGATCATAAATTTATTTTGAATACCATATCAATAGAAAAATTGATTATTTCTTTTTTAACCATAACTATAGATGTACAGAATTACGAAAAATTTTAAATCCTCATTTATTTTACGTATGCATATTATATATGTATATATAAATATCTATAAATTGTTTCATAATTATTTTTGGTGACACACAAGATACCTTAATTAATAGTTTCACGCTTTAACATAAAAATTATTGTATATAATTTGAAGAAGGTGTACTAACAAATTTTCCATCACAAATGCATATATAGGGAAATAATAGGGAAAAAATAAAATTCACTTTCCAAATAAAATCTCTAATTTACTATTGTTGCAATGAATACATAAATTTTTTTAAAAAAATATGATTATTGTAGAATGAAAGTAAATTTTATCATAAACGCCGGTTTCGGTTAACTATTTTAACTTAATTCATATTTATGCGAAGAGACTTTCTATATGTGCAATTTTTTTATTATAATTGGGAAATTTACAAATAAATACATATATATGTATATAGATATATATAAATGCTGAATATAGTAATATTTCATACAATTCACTTTCTTTTGTTATTCCTACGCAAAACATAACATACGTTACATGTTTTTCGCATTATCTCCTTTGCAAAAAAAGGGAAATTTATATATACAATAACGATTTTGACACAATAATAAACTATTACATATTTATACATATTTACTTACATATTTACTTATATTATATTATGTTATATGTATAGATGTGTTTATATCTATTTATTTATTATAAAATTAATTAATGAAAAAAAAAAATTTAAAGAAGTTATAAATTATAAACTACATACATATATTATATAAAATTGTCGGATTTTTGGAGCGGAAAATCTTTCGTTTTGATAAACCCACATGTGCCATATTTTTTTCAAAAATAAATTCATAATTTATGTATTTCAATTAAATAAAAATAATTAAGAATGACCTATAAAAGGATTTATATAAGGCCATTACAAAAGATAATGGAAAATTAAAATATTTCTTTTCTTTTTTTCAACTAATAATATTTTGCCAATTATTGACATTTATGCAATCTAATATCCTCCTTATTGAAACTTAACTATCATGTGAATAGTTTCTAAAGGAACTTTGTGGGAATTTTGTATATCATAGAATTGATATAATACTTCGAATATTTCAAAAGGATTTTCTTTTCATTTTGCTTAAAATTGAAATTAATCAAAAAATTTTTAGTCTTAAGAAACAAAATATTTCGAATAACAGCAATAGTATTCTTATAAATTGAAAAAACCCATGTAACTTATAATCAACGTAACTTATAGCAATGTAACTTACAATCGTGCATTCACGTAATATTGTATAATATTTCGGTTATACATTATTTTAATTCAAATCATGTAGAACATTCGTATATCTTTTCAAAAACTTATTTGGAAATGTTATTTTTCTTATGTGGCCTCAATAGTTAGCTTTCAATTTGTACTTATTCAAGATTTCAATTTGTACTTATATTCATAACGTTAGAAACAAAAAAATATCACAATTTCTTTTGTAAAGATGGAATGGACTTTAACTTTTTATGCAAAATTAATTGAATTATGAAAGGAAAATAATTGAACTTCAAAAATTATAAATGGTTATAAAAAATTTTAATAAATAATTTTATCAAAAAACATGAGCAAAAAATTATATTTTTCTTATTAAATAAATTTAAAATTACAAAACAGTAATTATCTAATTGTTGCCACGATTAGTTTTTTTCGATTCGAATTTGCATGGATAATTACAAGTTTATAAATATTTTATAAGTTAACAATATACTGTTTTTGAAATTGTATTTAAAAATTAATAATAATTGTAAATTGTAAAAAATTGTAAATTCTAAAAATTGTAATTGTATCAATTCTACAATAAATGTTTTTTACTATAACAGAAATCTATACATACACTATGTATTTTAATTCATTTAATATTTATTTATAAATTTAATAACTATTATTAAAAAGTATTCAAATCATATAAAAATAATAGTTTATATTAACCATTTAAGAATAATAGTCATAGTTTTGTAAGGATATGCAAAGCACTTATTTTCCTAAAATTTACAATGATACCATACATAAAAAACAAATTACAAAAAAAAAAACAAAAACACAAAAGAATGTATTACATCATAGATTAACAGCATATTTACAAAATCCTTCTCACATCATACATAATGTATGCATGATGTAATTTTTTCTTCCTTTTTTTTTTTTTGTAATAAATAATGATATTCCACTTGAACAAGCGGCTTACCGTTAATTTTTCACGTTTATTAACTAAAATATTATTTCACCACTTTTCTTTTAAATAAAAGAAGATAAGGAGCTACATTTATGTAAATAATATTAGATTTGATCTACTCAATTATTTTTTTTTAATTTTAATATTATTTGGAATTTTATTATTGTGCTCTAAAGTTATATTACATATTTTTTATTCTTAGAGATTAATATTTTTAAAATAAGAAAATCGTCTTCTCTAACCGAACCTTGTTAAGTTACTATAGATTGCTACCCTAAATTGATATACGATGCTAAAGATAAGAAATATAAAATTTCTCCTTTTCAAAAGCATAAACTTGTTGCATTTTACGCATGCACATTTGAATTTTCTTTTCAACTGTTATAAAACAAGGAAAATTAAATTATTTTGGTGTTGGTGAAATTATACAATATAATATATAAGTATATACACTTTAATGTTACCTAATTAGTTTATGCTCGTAATCGTTCGGAAATGAGGAAAATAAATTATGCATTAAATTTGTTTTTTTCCCTTTTCAATACTTAAAATTTTTTTTAATATGTGATAAAATTTATTAAAATTTAATTGATTTACCAACATATCAAAAAAGTGAATCTAATTACTGAATGAATAAAAAAAATCTAGTAGTAAATTTCAACATTTATTTTTAACACTTTTCTCATTAATTTCTGATGTGGTAAATATTGGCCTATTATAACTTTCCATAATATTAATTGCATATAATATATTTATTAGATCTTTTAAAATCATTAGTTACTTTATATTTAGCTTTAGCATGATGAATAAAATATGTCACCTTTTAACTGTATTTTTTAAAATATTTTTTGTTCAATAATCTTCCAACGTCTTGTACAAATTTCTTATTATCTGCCTGCAAATGTATAGATATTTTGGAATATACAAATCGAATATACTTATATACTGGCACACATTATGATCGGACAATTTCATAAATTCACAAACTTTCTAAATCGACGCATTAAAAATTTAAAAACTTTTAGAAGTTGCTAAAATAAAAACCTGAAAAAGAACATTGAAACTGAAAATTTAAGTTTCTAGGTTCCAAAATTTAATGTATGGATTCAATGGAATGGCACCTAAATTTTTAAAAGAATATTTCAAAACAGGGGACACTTCGAATAATAGGCAAAATAGATAACAATAAATAAAAAAACAATTTTAATACTTTTTTTCAAAATATATATTTTTTAATGTTTAATTTCCTTCATTATTAGTTTTTCGAAAAAATGGCAAAAATAATTATAATAAATAGCCTATTTCAGTTTTATTTTTCTTTTGTTAAATTATAATTATAACAAATTACATACACAAAAAATATTCTATGATTAAAACTAACAAAAAAAATTATTTATTTTAAATTTAATTCGCGTTTGCTTCAATTATAATAGACTCCTTATATTATTTTTATATTTTTTTGAGTTGTTTCATATAATTCAATTAAAACTACAATATTCATAGTGACTCAATTAATTTGTTATAATTTTTCATTTGATATTAGTTTTAAGAAAATTGAAACAATATATAAATTTTTAAACATAAAATTTCCAAAAGATTTTTCTTTTAACAAAACGTTTATATTGCAGTATTGAACAAATTGCAACTGATGTCAAATTGAAAAAATAAAAAAGAGAAACACATAGTCACATAAATTATTTGAGTCACAGTATACAAATGTATTTTTTTGATGATTTTATTTTTCATAATTCAATTCTAGCCAACATCTCTATTTAATTTACTTTTCATTATATCTTAATAAAATTCGTTATCTGAGCGCAAAGTTTCATTCTTTTTATATAAAATATATATAAGAATATAAAATAATCAGATTAAAAATCAGAAAGCATGCTATTGAAAAGGATATTAAAACAAAAAATAATTCAAAGACAAAATTTTTCATTTTATTCATGAAAAAAATAAATGTATAACTCTTATTTAATTAATTTTAAAAATATTATAAAAATACTAAACTCATAGTGTTCCTTTGAATAAAAATAAAATGGGAATTCTTTTCTAAAAAGAAACCCATATTTAAAATAATCATTCTGGCTTTTGAAATTAATTTTAGTTTTTTGAATGCACAACAATTTGCGTACCTGTGTTTTTCACAATAATTTGAATACATAATAATTTGCGTATACATATGTGTTTTTTTTAATCTCAGATATCGAACTTAATTAAAATATTCTACTTTTTCATTTATAGTCTCAATAATGCTTTTTTTATAGTCATTATTTAATTGTAAAATAAGCCAAACACTTATTTTTACAATCTTATTTTTTTTACAAATTTTTGTTATGTTATAAAATTTTCAAATCGAATAAAGTTTTTGCTTGTTTACTGTATAAGGATCCTTTTAAACTAATTTTTTTTGTATTTCCGATCAATTGAAGATAAATAATTATTTTAATACATATTAGGCCACATTTTAACAAACTATCAAAATAACACGTTGAGTAAAAAAACATGTTTTATTTAAGTATGCCTTTAGAGATTATGAACTTTTTATAACTTATGATAGCTCTTAAAACGAATTTACAATTTTTAAACGAAATATGCTTTAAAACATTACTGTATTTAATACTAGTAGGAAATTAGTCAAATTCATAATATTGTGTAATACATACAATTTAAAAGGTACTAAATTTTTCATACTTATATTTTTTAATGTTATTTTCAGATTTCGACTTATTATTAAGAATAATAATTGATGAAAAGCAAACAGCTACAAAAAAAAGAGTAAAACAAAAAAAAAACTATTTTTTTTTAGAAACAATCACTAAAATTTTTATTAAATTATTTTGTTGTTTTTTTTTTAATTGGAGTTTCCTTGCTTCATCTAAATCACAAAATTTTCTCAAATATGTTTATACAACATAACTAGGATGGTTGATAATGTAAAATGAATCAACAAGCTGTAGGTAAAATATAAAACTGTAGTTCTTTAATTTCTACATCAATTTATTACAGACCGTGTGAGCTAAATTAAATGCTTTAAATTTTTATTAGTTTTGGAATTAAGACATAACAAGGAAACACCTTTCTATTTTTATACTAGCATTTGTCATTATTAGATTCTTGTATTTCATTAATTTTGTTAAATTTATTACTTTATTTGAATGTTTATTTTTTCTTTAAATTAATTCTATTTAAAAAGTGTTTTTCACATACGTTACTATTTTTCTGTGTCAATTCAATGATGGTATCCGTGATTCATTCCAATTTACTTCGATGTTTGGCCATTTTGTTTGTAAACATGTCAACATGTTATTAGAAATGCTACACATTAATTTTAAATCACTCTCCAATAAAATTGCTGTACCTTTGTTGTATTTGACCTACAAAATTCGATAGGTTAAATTTATTTATACAATGTATCTCGTTTAATGTTATTCAGACCTTATTTCCGAAATTGGATCCTGGTATTCCATTATAATGCATTAAATCAAATGTGTCAGGCATTGAACGTTGATCTTCCGGAAAAAATTCATCCATAAATGCATTGAGTAAAATAATTCCCAAATTTTCTGGATCTAACTTCTTTTGCATAATAGCAACACTAAATATAAAACAAAGTAATGTAATAAATTTTAAAGCAGCGTAATATATGCATATCTGAATATAAATATATGTAAGCAATATGAACAAGCGTAATAGAAATACTTACTATTCTGGGTCACTGACTAAATGCAATGTACAAAGCACATCTTGCAAAACGGGAGTAGGTATGAAATTGTTGCAATCTGGATCGTAGGATTTGAAAACACGACGAGCAATTTCACTTGGTGTTTCTGGTGAAACCAGCCTCTTTTCATTACTGAATAAAACTGAAATGAAATAGAATAGAATAGAATAAAAAATTTGAAATTAAAAAAGTCAACCAAATATTAAGTTATTTTACCAAATATGCTTACCTGTTAAATGTGTGTCTGAACCCATAATCCATACAGGATTCTTAGGATTTTTATAAAATGAACCTACAGTGCAATAACGCATTTGTTCCATTAATGTAATAAATCCAATATCCGATTGCTGATTTATTCCACGAAGCTCTAAAATATATAACAAATCCGGGTTTTGAAGTTAATAAAAAAAATTCACTAATGGTACATATTTAATGGTCATGGTAAAATTTTTTTCGATTTGTCGCATGAGGTTTTTAAAAACGAAATTTCAAAAAATACAGCAATGAATTTTTTTTTAATTTTGAAAAGTGTACTTACTTAGACCACCAACATCTTGGTCATTATCCCATACGTATGATACAGCTCGACCAGTTAACATTAAGTTGATTAGACCCTGTGAACCGTACCCATATGTATTATGAATTAATGGCTCTGATGTATCAGATAGCTCTGTTTGAACGTTTTCAACACCCTAGGAAATAAACTTTAGAATACAAACTTGTGATTTTTTTATAAACTTTACTTTAGTTAAAATGACAGAATACATAAACAATAGTACACCATATTTCCCCGTCAGTACGTAAAAATTATCGGTGTAATATTTTTCAACATCATCAATTGTTTCTAAGTGAATAACTGATAATCGGTCATGAAATTCATCAGACGTCCATTCTGGTCGCTCTTTAGCTACCATTTGCTAATGATTATTTAAAAATAAAATATATTTTGTATTTTATAACATATTATAACACCCACACATACTTCAATATGTTCTTCGTTAGATTCCACAGAATTATGAATATTGCCCTCAGCGTCTGCCGCAGGACTTGGAGCAGAACTGGATTCTTTGGCTTCTGTACTTATATCTGGCAAATATACGATTCGATATTTATTTACTTTGCATTTCATTAATATATTACACAAAGCTTGTATTAACAATCGGTTACATTTTTCATTAGTTAGCTAAAATTATGTAAGTGTTAAAAATTGACTGTAAAAATGGGTAAGAAAATAAGTACATCTTTCAAGTTATGACCCGGAGTTTCCATTAGAAGAATTTTTAAAAGAAAAGCTTGAACAGGAGCTATCACAGCGCATGGACCACCTTGTTTTTGCACTAAAGCTGATGGTTCAACATCAGAGAATTCAAAACCTGAAAATAAAAAAGAACTAAAATGCTGACTTGCTTTCTGGTAAATTAAATTAAGAAATTATAGAATAAGTCGAACTTAATTACATCACTTCTTACAGAAATTAATTTTATCTAGATTAGATGTCTTAATACACATATATTGTTTTTTTAACTTGAAAAAATTATTTTCAATATTATACTCATAGATAACTTTATTGTATCCAGCCTGCCTTACAATTGGTTAGTACAAAGCAAATTTCAATGTAAACTGAAACTAATTCAATAAAAAGTAATTTCTTTTACTCGAAAAATTTTGCATTCCTTCTTATAAAATATTTAAATAACAAGCAAAAAAAGTAACAGTGAAATCCTTTTTTAAGATTTTGCTTATAATTTCTTCTTTAAGTGATGATTCAATTATTTGATAAGTGTACATAAATTTTTCACTATTTTACCTTGGGACCATCGTCTAAAAACATCTTCTTTAATTGAACCCCATAACAAATTCCGAATTTCTTTCAATTCATATTCATCGTTTGATGCTGAGGCACTAGAGTTTTCACCCATTTTATCATAAATAAAGCTTAAATACTATGTTTTACGCTATTTTCAAAATTTTAATACATTAACTTTTTTCCAAGCAACAGCACTTTAGTCTTTTGACATTGACATTATAGCATGAAAATGAAAACAAAAAAAAACCCTGTAAACAATTTAAAATTCGAGAAATTACGTCACATTATTATCAAGAACAGGTGTGTCATTCATTAAAGTGTACTAAATTCTAATGGCCGGGAATAAATTGATATGTGTATTTTCTTGCTTTTTTTTTATATATTTGGGGTTTACGAATTATTTTTATTAATCAGTCAGTTTTAACTTACTCATTCTGCTAATCTATGTTTTGTTTTTAGTTGCAAGGACCTGTGACAATTAAGTTCGCCAAAATCAAATGTCAAAAATTTTCAATTTTTAAAATTCAAAAGTAATTTTTTCTAGCACACTTAATCAGTTTATTCGATAGATTGTGATTTTGTCTTATCAAATATTAAATCTCTTGCTTAACCCACTCTGACACCTCCTATTATCTCACCTAGCTTTCAGCATATTTTTTTAAACATTTCCTAATCGATGTTACAATTATATTAAAGAAATGATGTACGGCTTATGACAAACTTCTAGATGGTTAAATTTTTAACAATTGTAACAGTTTTTAACAATAATTTTTATATTAAATCATTAACTTTTGAAAATTCGACTATCCAGCTCTGATCGACAGTTGTTCTATAGTAAATTGTTTTTTAATAAAGAAATGTCATTTTTAAAATTAAAAAACTAAATAGGAAATGTCATAGTGAATAACGTATTTTTAATAAAACAGGAAGAAACAATTATATATCCGTATTAAAACAGAAAAAAATATTTACAAAAAAGATTTTCTTAATCATTTATTACTACTCTCTTTTTAGAATGTCTTCTTATTGAATTTTTCCCTCTTTCTAGGATTGATTTTCTTTTAAAAAAATTAAACATTTTGCGAAAACTTAACGACATGTCAAATTTAATGATATACAATTACAGTTGGCAGAAATAGATTTTTGCTACGTCAAGTACACAATTCAAAGCATGTTTCATATATACCATGTATAACTCAAAAATTTACTAAGGCAATTTTTATGCATATTTTTAATTATTATTGCACTATTGGCAAAACTGATTTTCAAATTCGTAAAAACCCGCCGCTGTATTCTTGCAATTGAAAAAAGGTGTTGAACAAATTAAAAATACATAGCTAGTGATTTCTTTCGATTTTTTGAAAGTTTAATCTGTATTTTTAATTATTTGAACTTGGAAAAAAATAATAATGAGTGATGCTGATTGCGTTAAAGTAGCACTGCGGATTCGTCCATTGGTTAAAACAGAAATTGATAAAGGTTGCCAAGAAATTGTGAGTAAGATAAATGGAGAATCACAAGTTTTTGTTAAAAATCACGATTCATACACTTTTAATTATGTATTTGGAAAAAATGAGTCTCAAATAATCGTGTATGAAGAAGCTGTGAAATCTATGATATCAAAGCTTTTTAAAGGTAAAAATATGAAGTAGCAAATTTAAAACTACAAAAATTTTTTGCAAAATATTTAATTTTTAAGAATATTGATGTAATTTATTGACAATATTTGATTCTAGGCTACAATGTTACTATATTAGCTTATGGTCAAACAGGCTCAGGGAAAACTCATACCATGGGTACTTCGTTCGATGGGGAAAAAAGTTTTGACATGGGCGTTATACCAAGGTCCATATACGATATATTTAACAAAATATCTGAATTTTCTAAAGAATACGATATCTCAGTAACTTGTTCGTTTATGGAACTCTATCAGGAAACTTTATACGATTTGCTTTCGAATTCGACAAGAGATCAAAGTTCAGTAGATATTAGAGAAGATACAAATAAAGGTATTATTATTCCAGGTTTAACCGAAGTACCCATTTCATCTGCGAATGAAGCTATTGATTGTCTAATTAAGGGATCATCTGGACGTGCTGTTGGAGCTACTGCTATGAATGAGCAATCAAGCAGATCACATGCCATATTTACCATAAATGTAAATATGAAAAAAGATGAAATGTAAGACCTTGGATTAGGTTAAAATAAAAACATAAATTACTTGAAAATTTTTTCTAATACATCTGATTTAGTACCTCAATGACTACGTCGAAATTTAACTTAGTTGATTTAGCAGGATCAGAAAGGTCAAAAAAAACTAAAGCAACCGGTGATAGATTTAAAGAAGGCGTTAACATAAATAAAGGTCTCTTGGCATTAGGGAATGTTATATCGGCACTTGGAAGTAAGGAATTTCAATTTTTTAAATATATGCAGGTATTTTAAATTAAGTTCATGTTCAGGTGGTCAAAATTCATATGTTTGCTACAGAGATTCAAAGTTAACGAGATTGTTACAAGATTCTTTAGGAGGAAACTCTATAACGCTAATGATAGCTTGTATTAGCCCGGCTGATTATAATTTAGATGAAACGATAAGTACCTTACGATACGCTGACAGAGCAAGAAAAATTAAAAACAAACCAATTGTCAATCAAGATCCTCAGCATGCAGAAATAAATAAACTAAACAACATAATTCAAAATCTGCGTCTACAACTTTTAGGAAAACAGGATTTTTTATTAGCAAATTCTGAAAATACTGGAAGCGAAGTATCGGAAGATATATTAGCTCTCAAAAAGAAGAACAATGAATTGGTTGAAATAAATCAAAAATTGCGGCAACAATTACAAACTACTTTAAACGATGTTACAGAGATTGAAACTAGGGCTAGCATTGCAGAAGAAACTAATGATAAACTTTTGATAAAGTTTAATGAACTCAAAAAAATTCTTTTAGAGCAGAAAAATGGTGATCAACTAGTTAATGTTGAAATTTTCGCCAAAATTGAAGAATTAGACCAAATTTTCAAACAAAATCAAGAGGAACTTATGAGTCAAAAGTCTGAAAATCACAGTATTAATGACGTAACATTTTGTGTTGGTTATGAAGATGCTCAACATAGGTAATAATAATAGTTATATTTGTTGAAATTTGTTTGCAAAAAAATAAAAACCTAACTTATTATGATTAATAGTTATGATCGTTTTACAACAAAGCAACTTGAAATCAATGACGAACTTCGAAAAATAAATCGAGAATTAGCAATTAAAGAGTCTTACCATCAAAAAGTTGCAATTAATTTAACAAAATTTTGTGATTATGAAGGAGGAAACGAAAATTTAATAAAGGAAACCGAAAATAAAATACAAATTCTTGAAGCTGAGAAGAATGATCTTGTAGAGAAATTAAAATCTGTAAAAGAAAATGTAACCGCGAAAATATCAGAGGAAAGACGGAAGCGATTGTATCGTTTGGAACAGGAAATAATTGAATTGAAAAAGAAAATAACACAACAGGATAGAATTTTGAAGGTTCGCGAAAAAGAAACTTTGAAAATTGCAAGCTTGAATAATGAGATTCAACAAATGAAGGCTGCTAAAGTTAACTTAATCAAAGCTATGAGAAAAGAAGCTGAATCTTTTAGACAATGGAAATTAAATAGAGAAAAGCAACTTACTCAATTAAAAGAAAAGGACTGCAAAAGACGTAATGAAATGGCCCGTATGGAGGCCTTACATAATAAACAGAAAAATGTATTAAAGCGTAAAGTTGAAGAAGCTATGGCAATCAATAAAAGGTAGTAAATTAATTCAATTCTATTTTTGCAATATTTTCATTTGCCATTTTTTTTTAGACTAAAAGATGTTTTGGACAAGCAAAAACAGGTTCAGCTTAAACGTCACGCAACAACTAATGGCCAATCTGGAAAAATGGATCAAATATTGACTTTAATTGACCACGAACTTGAGCTAATTTTATCTGTTGTCGATGCTCAAATTTCTTTAGACCAACTAATGGAAGATCGAGCTGCGGTAAATCAGCGTTTAAAGGAAATAAAAATTGAAAATCCAGATAACAAGAAAGAAATTAGAGGTATAGAAGACGATTTAGCTTTGAGAAATGCTCAAATTGAAGATATGCAGCAGAAAATTATATCTTCAGACTTAACAAGTAAAATAAAAGTAATTTGTGAAGGACTATCCAGTTTAACGGAAGCAAGAGGTGCTTTAAAACACTTATTTAATGTACTCATAGAATTAAGAAAAGAATGCGCTCTTAAAAGTAACAAAATAGAAGAATACAAATCGGCATACGAAATGACGGAAGAAAAAATTAGTGAATTAAAAAGAACTGTTGAAGAAAACGAGAACAAGTACCGGAAAGAAATTTCGAATGCCGAAAAATGTTATGAAGAAAAAATAGCAGTTTTGTTACGTGAATTAAGTAAAGTGCCAAATGAATTAGAGAACCAAAATGATTCCGCAACCAATGAAAGATTAAAAATTCAAGAGGAAACTTTAGATAAAATCGATGTTTTGAGATGGGAATTAGAAAACTATAAAATGAAATGTAACGAATACGAAAAATTGCTGCAAGCTCAAAAGCAAAAAAATTTGAACCAGTTAAAACCTAATAAAATAAAAATAGAGGACAATGAAATCATTACTGATGAATATATTCTTCTAGATGATAGTTTGGCTGATGAAGAATATCACGAAGATAGTTTTTCTCATGACCCTGATTGGAGAAGAACTCCAATGTTCAAAAAATCAAAACGTGCTGTGTCTTTAGTAAGTACAATATGTATATTTAAAAAGATACACATAAATATATTTAAATCATTATTTAAAAGTATTAATAAAATTGTAAATAAATTTTTAGAAAAAAAGTAGTATAAGTCAAGAGATGATTGCGGGGATTAAAAGAAATTCCGATGGAATGGTAAAATGTGGGTGTAAGACAAACTGTAGCACAAAACGTTGCGGTTGTCGAAACAATGAGGCTGAGTGCACAGAGCGCTGCTCCTGCAGTTTAGAATTGTGCAGAAATAAAAGTATAGTAAATGGAAATGATGCAGATGCAGGATCGGTGGATATTACAGCTACTGACAGTATTTTTAAAAAAGAGAAAGAAAACATAGATTCAAATAGAGGATCATGCAAAAGTAACATTTCAAATTCATCGATCGATTTATTCGAAAATACAGCGTTAAATACACCGAAAAAAATAAAGTAAGTTTTAAAAGATAGAACATTTTTTAGTTTTTAATTTTTAAAATTTTTATTTAAAAACTATCAAAAAAAACTGCCATTGTACAAAATTTTTCTCTTTCTGAAATTTTCGCTGTAAATTTATTATGTAATTTATGTATACTTTAACAAAATTTTTAAAAATTAGGTGTACGCTTGGAACAGAAGAAAATAAAAATGATGTTACCACCCCAAAGTACCCATTTGAATCGAAGAAGAGGCCTTCGTATTATCAATGAAGAATCTTTTAAAAGACATAAATTATGTTATTTTACGTGATTTATTTATTTAGTTACGATTAAATAGTAGAAAGTTTGTAAAAACTCTTAAATGTTTGTAATAAAATCCATTATAATAAGTTATCAAGGTGTATTAAAGCTAATGCATTGTTAATTTAATTTATAGCTAGGTTATAAAATTTCAGCTTTTGATGTTGATGGAATTTATATTTCAGATTGAAATTTGCAGGTAAGATTACACATTTCGTTTATGTACGAGTATAATGTTATACATATATAAGTGCAGCATATATCAACTTATGTGTAATAATCACAAACTTTTTTGTGGAAACTGACCGCTAAACTTATCAAAAAATAATGTTTAATCTTTTAACAGATTGCATTAATGTTAACATATTATAGATACTTTGACGTTGTCAAAATGAACCTCAGTGTTTATTATTTACTAATACTTAACATGCTGTATATGCGATAAAATTTAAATGTCAGAATTAAAGTAATAAATGTGTGACGAAAAGTATAATCAAAATGAAAAACACTGATCCCTGGTTCGGAGCTCCACAAAAATCTGTCGACATTTTACTTTCGCTAAATTTAATTTTACATGAAACTTTCTGGATTAACACATACCACCCACAGGGATGTACATAATATGTACAACATACTCATTAGTTTCATTAGTTCGTACGAAAACTTAAGCCGTCTTTAGCTCACTTCATTGTGAATAAAATTGAAAGAAGAAAAAATCTAGATGGCGGCTCATGAGTATTAAATATTATATCAAATTAATGTTGGTAAAACTGATTTTCAAATTTATGAGAACCCGCCGCTGTAGCGAAAAAGGGAGCAAGTTAAAGTTCAAACATAAATAAAAATACAAATAATATAAATTATTTTCTTAAAAAAGAAAAAAGAGTGTTCTTAAAAATTATTTTTTCGAGCTAAAATAAAAATAATGAGTGATGCCGAAAGCGTTAAAGTAGCACTTCGCATTCGTCCATTGGTTAAAACAGAAATTGATAAAGGATGCCAAGAAATAGTGAGCAAGATAAATGGAGAATCACAAGTTTTTGTTAAAAATCACGATTCATACACTTTTAATTATGTATTTGGAAAAAATGAGTCTCAAATAATCGTGTATGAAGAAGCTGTGAAATCTATGATATCAAAGCTTTTTAAAGGTAAAAATATGAAGTAGCAAATTTAAAACTACAAAAATTTTTTGCAAAATATTTAATTTTTAAGAATATTGATGTAATTTATTGACAATATTTGATTCTAGGCTACAATGTTACTATACTAGCTTATGGTCAAACAGGCTCAGGGAAAACTCATACCATGGGTACTTCGTTCGATGGGGAAAAAAGTTTTGACATGGGCGTTATACCAAGGTCCATATACGATATATTTAACAAAATATCCGAATTTTCTAAAGAATACGATATCTCAGTAACTTGTTCGTTTATGGAACTCTATCAGGAAACTTTATACGATTTGCTTTCGAATTCGACAAGAGATCAAAGTTCAGTAGATATTAGAGAAGATACAAATAAAGGTATTATTATTCCTGGCTTAACTGAAATTCCTGTTTCAACTGCAGAACAAACTATTGGATGTCTTATTAAGGGATCATCTGGGCGTGCTGTTGGAGCTACTGCTATGAACGAACAATCAAGTAGATCGCATGCCATATTTACAGTTAATGTGAACATAATGAAAAAAGATGAAATGTAAGTATAAATTGCGAATTTTCTTTAATTAACAAATTAAGATCACTTTTTTATTTTTTTTATTGTATTATTAAGTACTTCAATGACCACGTCAAAATTTAATTTAGTTGATCTAGCCGGATCTGAGAGGTCGAAAAAAACTAAAGCTACAGGTGACAGATTTAAGGAAGGAGTTAATATTAATAAAGGCCTTCTGGTATTAGGAAATGTAATATCAGCACTTGGAAGTAAGAAGAATTGGTTTTACTAAATGTAAAAAACTTAACTAAATGCAAAATTATTTAATTTGTGTGCTCTTTTCATTTAATTTCTTTTGTAATATTTCAAAACCGCTTGTTTATAAATCTTTCCTATCATGTATCGAAATTATAAAACAATATTTTTATATAGGTGGTCAAAATTCGTATGTATGCTACAGAGATTCAAAATTGACAAGATTGTTACAAGATTCTTTAGGAGGAAACTCTATAACGCTGATGATAGCCTGCATTAGTCCAGCCGATTATAATTTAGACGAAACGATAAGTACCTTACGATACGCTGACAGAGCAAGAAAAATTAAAAATAAACCAGTTGTCAATCAAGATCCTCAACATGCGGAAATAAATAAACTAAATAACATTATTCAAAGTCTGCGTCTTCAGCTGTTGGGGAAAGAAAATTGTTCGTTAGCCCATTCAGAAAAAACTGAAAATGATGTATCGCAGGATATATTAACCCTTAAAAGACAAAATAATGAATTATACGAAAAAAATCAAAAATTACGGCAACAACTGCAAACTACTTTGAACGATGTTACAGAAATTGAAACCAGGGCTAGTATTGCAGAGGAAACTAATGACAAACTTTTAACAAAATTTAATGAAATTAAAAAAGTTCTTTTAGAAAAGAAAAAATCTGGTGAACAAGTCGATTTTCCCGAAATTTTTGAAAACATTGAGGAAATAGACAAAATTTTCAAAGAGAATCAAGAGGAACTTATGAATCAAAAATCTGAAAATAACAGTATCAGTGATGTAACATTTTGTGCTGGCTCTGAAGACATGCAACAAAGGTACAATTTTCAAAAAAGATTTTTGTGGCTTTATTTTAAGGTATTTACTTTTACAATTTAGATACGACCAATTCACAACGAAACAACTTGAAATTAATAATGAACTTCGTAAAATAAACCGTGAACTAGCGCTCAAGGAATCTCATCATCAAAAAGTTTCTATTAATTTAACAAAGTTTTGTGATTACGATGGAGGGAATGAAAACTTCATTCGAGAAGCTGAATTGAAAATAAATATTCTTGAAACTGAGAAGAATGATCTGCTGGAGAAATTAAAATCGGTAAAAGAAAATGTAACAGCAAAAATTGCGGAAGAAAGACGCAAAAGATTGCAGCAATTAGAATCAGAAATAATAGATTTAAAAAAGAAAATCACTCAGCAGGACAAAATATTAAAAGTTCGAGAAAAAGAAACTTTGAAAATAGTCAGTTTAAATAATGAAATTAAACAAATGAAAGCTGCAAAAATTAATTTAATTAAAGCTATGAAGAAGGAAGCTGAATCTTTTAGACAGTGGAAATTAAGTAGGGAAAAACAGTTGACGCAACTTAGAGAAAAGGACCGTAAAAGACGTAACGAAATGGCTCGTATGGAAGCTTTACATAACAAACAAAAAAATGTTTTAAAAAGAAAAGTTGAAGAAGCAATGGCAGTGAATAAAAGGTATTGAATATGGTTAAATTTTAAATTTTTTTAAAGCGTTATATTTGATTATTCCAGACTTAAAGAGATTTTGGATAAACAGAAGCAAGTTCAACTTAAACGAAATACAACAACTACTGGTCAGTCTGGAAAAATAGATCAAATATTAACCTTAATTGATCATGAGCTTGAATTGATTTTATCTGTTGTTGACGCACAAATTACTCTGGATCAGTTAATGGAGGATCGCGCTGCAATAAATCATCGGTTAAAAGAAATAAAAAATGAAAACCCTAATTATAAGAAGGAAATTAGAAGCATAGAAAACGATTTGACTTTACGAAATGCTCAGATTGAAGATATGCAACAGAAAATTCTATCATCGGACATCACAAGTAAAATAAAAGCGATTTGTGAGGGAGTTTCCAGTCTACCAGAAGCTAGGGGTGCCTTAAAACATCTGTTCAACGCGTTAATAGATCTAAGGAAAGAACATGCAATAAAGGACAATAAAATGGAAGAGTACAAGTCGGCATATGAAATCACAGAAGAAAAAGTAAATGAACTAAAGAAGACGATTGAAGAAAATGCAAACAAATATCAAGATGAAATTCTAAATGCTGAAAAAAATTATGAAGAAAAGATTTCAGTGTTGTTGCGTGAGCTTAACAAATCATCATGTAAATTGAATCAAAGCAATGACCCTGAAGTTAGAAAGAGGATTCAAATTCAACAAGAAGCGCTTGAAAAAGTTGATACATTAAGAGAGAAATTGGACCATTACAAAACAAAATGTATTAAATATGAAGAATTATTACAAAGTCGAATTGAAAATAATTCGAAAGTAACGGACAATTTTTATTTAAATGAAGACTACCGAACTGATATTACAGAAGACAGCTTTTGTAGAGAGTTAAATATGAAAAATTCTCCGATGTTCGCAAAAATTGAGGATCTAAATGTAGTTCCTACGGTAATATTACAATTTATATAATATATATAGTTTTATATAATTAATTTTTCCAATTTAATTCTAGAATAAATTAGTTAACGAAACAAAAACTTTTGTAACTACATTCGGAGCTAAAAGGGCTTCCAATGGAGCAATAAAATGTCGATGCTCTGATGGAAAATTTGGGGAGACTTCGTGCTTTTGTAGCAGTAGGAAAGATGATACCGTAACTAGGGCCACGAGTGAAAATAATTATTTGAATGAGAAAACTTTTGTCAAAAGCGAAAGCGACGAAATACTTTCTAATAAAAGTTTAAAAACCAAAAACATCTTAAATACAACTATAAACATTTATAAGAACGACGATGAAAGCGATGTATTGCATACTCCTAAGAAATTTAAGTAAGGTTTAAACTTTATTTTCAATTTTTAGCAATATTTATATTAAATATTTTAGATTTTCTATGGAGGAGGAAAGTAAATTGGACGTAACAACTCCTTCATATCCATTCAAATCAAAAAAAAGAACACCATTTTATCAGTGAAAAAATTGATAATACTTAGTGCATACTATGAGCATATACATATATTATATGAGGTTTGTTTAACATTCACCTTGAAATATTTAGATTATTTCTCATAAAATAGTATTTATTTTTGTAAATATTTAAAAACTTTTCATATTTTTATCTTATACATACATTTTATTTTACTTTTTGTATTTTAATAAATTTATATATAACTATACATACATAAATAGATTTTATTTCGAATCATTTAGGTGCTTAATTATGTGTAGATCATCATATTTAAAAATTTCAGGGAACTCGCTCGTGTTGTCTTTATTATTAAATTGTTTCTTTTCAAAAATTCAATTTTAAATGATTTAATTGGAAAACCAAGCATTAAAGAAAGTTTGAGTATATGACATTTAAAAATTAATATACATGGGTACTCAATATTCCCAATAATATTAATATATAACATTATTAATATTAATTAATACATATTATAATATATAACATTATATATGAATTAATTATATTATCTATGAATTTGCCTAATTTCCAGTAAATGTATTGTCATATTTCATTAAAAATAACTCATTATTTAATTAAAAATGGAAAATTTATTTATATTACCAATATTTTTTAATTTTTGTAGAATTAATAACTTCATAACTCGTTTTTAGATAGTTTAATGTCTTTTTCTGCATCCATAACAGTTTTAAGAATTTTTATTTGCAATTTGTTCATATCTTTCATGGGAAATTTCCTAATTTTTCGTTTGATGAATTCCATTAATAAATCTAGTTCATCAAATTCGTTAGAACATTTTTTACATCTCGTTGAGGGTATACATTCTGCTGGATTTTCTTCTGCTTGAATATCATCTTTAGATTGGTTAGTTGGAATAACTGGTCCAGAAAGTTCAGTTTGAGTGAAATTATTAACTAAACTAATTATATTTGGGGATTCAGTTAAGGACGAGTTGTCATCAAAAATCACAATATCTTCAGCTTTAACATCTTTCATAATGAAACTATTTACATCTCCAACAGTAAATTGGGCTGTGTTATTCTCAATATAGTCTACATCATAATTACCGGAACAGTCTTCATATATTTCATATTTTGTTATGGATTCGTTCTCTCTAAGTCCTAAAATTTCAATACTTTGTGGTTTTTTTACTAGTTCTTCTTTAGTTTTAGTAATAAAACTATTTTCTAGGGGTGATTTGCTGATATTTTCAACCGTTTTCTGTAACTTTCTTTGTCTTGCCAAATCTTCTTTTCTTTGACGGCGTTTTTTATACATTTCCCCCAGAAACGAAAGCTCATTTGCATATTTATGATCGTCTAGTTTTGGGTTCCTGCTGTGTAGATCATAAGTTTCTCTTAAATATTTCCAGAATTTTTGACACTCAGCAACATCCACTAGAGGAAATTTTATAAAAATTCAAGTATTTATATTATTTCGTTGAAAATTTGAATATATGTACCTTGGAAAGTATCAGCAAGTTCTTGCCAAATGCTTTTATTTTGTTTGCTATTCCATCCAATTAATCTAGAATATTCGTATAAAGTAGGTCTTTCATATACCATTTGAATGAAATATTTAATATTGCGTTCAATATGAAAAATTGGATGGATTTCTGCACAAGCAATCGTTTGTTCACTCTTTCCTATAAACGATTCTTCAGTCATGGCTTTAGTTGTTATTCCTAAAGTTTCTGGATGTTTTCGCTCCAGATGTTTTCTCATAATAGATCTATTTCCCTTTTTATATGAAACTATAATGTTGCAATATTTGCATCTAACTTTTTCAGAACCTTCATCAGTAAAATGTTTCCACAAAATGCTCATTGTAAAGCAGTAATTTCGCTACACTATTGTTTCTTACTTTTGTTATTACCAAACTTTTGAATTTTAACAAATTTTAATATTTTTATTTTTTATAGTACATATGTATGTAATTGTACATATGTTTAAGTTTATTTTGTTTATCTCAAATGTCATTTCATAAATAGTGACGTTTTCCAGTGCTCCTTTTTGAGTTCTTTATGGAACAAAATCAGTTTTTTCTGAATCCAGATACATTTAATTTGAGTATACTAGGTCACGCGAAAATGTTATGATAATAGAAAGTGAGATGGGAAGGAAAATAACAAACTAAATGCATTAAATTTAAAAAAAAAATTTAAACTTTTAAAAATTAAATTTTATTTTTATGTTTCCTCCAAAATTTTGAATTTATAATTAATAATGAAATTATGAAAATTGTCAATTATTACTTTTACAGTGTAAACGTTCAATTCAGACCAAATCATATGTATATAGTTTTTCGTTATGAATATGAACGACAGAAATACCAAACGATTGAGGTTTATTTTAGACGATAAGGCAATATATCTGAAAAGGTGCGTACGCAGGCGGACATGAGAATACATATAGTAAATTGCAGTTAACTTTCGCTGTCAATTTTTGGATCACATTTATTATAGCATTGAAAATTTGATTTGGCAAAGAAAAAACAACAGTCAGCACATTATGGCAAATTCTGCTGAATAATTGATGGAACCTGATTAAAAGGTATTCCAATTGAAATATTTTTTTATTCTTTTTTGTGAAGTTTTTGAGTATTCTTTGTGACTCTCATTTTATTCAGTATGGGTTTAAAAGGCTTTTTGATTATGAGCAGTTTTTTTCTGCTTTTTTCCAAGTTTTTTAAAGTTCAGTTCTTTTTAAAATTTTTATTCTATAATTCAATTTCTTTCTATTTTAAAGACAGAAAAGGTTAAAAATTGCAATGTGTTTTTAAAGACCTTTTCAGATGGAATTTACCAACCGAGTTATTAGAAATTTAAATTTTAAATTAAAAAAATATCTAAAATCTGTAGAGCTTTAAATATTAATTAATTTCCTTCAGACAAATGATTTCCGACCTTCCGTTTAAAATCTACATAAATTTGGAGTTTATTTTTGATTTACTCCCTTCCCTAACTTTAGTGACCTGATAAATATAACGGCATTAGAACAACGAAGCTCTTTTTCGACCAATGGCGTCACATTTTGAAAACATACCAATGGCATCTTTCCGATCTTATAAATTTTTAGACCATGAGTACAAAAAACAAATTGAAAAACGACTCTTACAACACTCAATTTTTACATCAAAAGATAGAAAATGTGCAGCCTATGATTTTTTTTAAAAATAAATCCAAATTCACGCGCACAGCTCCTTTCGCAATTCCTTTAATATAAAGCCGTTTTCAAAAAAAAAAAAACATTAAAATTATGAATTATTGTAGCGAATTTCTAAATTTAAATTAAGAAAGCTTTTTAAGTAAAATTAAAAAGCTTTCTAAATAAACTAGTTTCATGAATTCTATTTTAAATTGAATTTAATCAACAGTCATATTTATTATCTAATTAATACATTACTTTTTGTATTTATTAATCGTTTCTAAGAGCTCATCTGCTTCTTGGGAAGTTTTAACTCTAAGTAAGACGGATGTAGGTTTTTGTTCGCATTCAGGTGTTGGAACGCATACTACCATCACATTATTTTTACCCATACGTTGGGTTGGTAAACCTTCACTTAAAATAAAATTTAATAAAATATTGCCTAAATTTGTATCGGCTCTGACAATCAACTGCGTTTTTTCTTGATCTTTAATTGGTTTTAGATAGAGTGTTCCTACACCTCGGTCTGCAAAATTGCCATCATGCTTAACAAAAACTTTACATCGTTTTGAATATACACTATCCTCTTCTACCACTGCTTTAAAATCGTTTTTTGGTGGTTCCTCGTCTTCTTCATTTTCTACCTCAGCAACTTTATTTCCGTCAAGTGCATTATTCTGATTAGACACGCTTCCACCAAAAGTAAATGGTTTAGAATTTGTAAAGCTAAATCCGCTAGAAGGAGAAGTAGTTGTGCTTCCGACAGCATTAGATTTACCAAATTGAAATCCTCCAGAACTTCCAAAAATAGATGTAGAGTTTGTTCCTTTCAAATTAGCAGCAAAAACCCCTGGAGAAGATGGTGTTTCAGTATCATTCACTGATACTTTGGGAAGATTGGAACCAAAAGAAAAGGGTTTTGACTCAGAACCATTCGATGATGTTGATGTGACGTTAGTTAAATTTTCTTGATCATTTCCTTTTGAAGCATTATCATCACTCTCCATAATTTCTTTGACATAATTTTCGTAATCTTTAAACATGGGCGTTAAAATACAAATTGGATTTTCTTCAATATTTTTTTTTATCCAGTCTATTAAATCTTGATTAAGTCGTTCAAGTCTTGAATAGTCTACTTTTGGTTTATGAGATCCATTTTTGATCATAGTAGGGGCGGTTGAAGTGGTTGAGCTTATTTTGTTCAAAAATGAAAACGGTGAAGCAGTCGAAGCAATAGGCGAGTTTGTAAATTTTTTAAAACCTGCAAAAAAAACAACAATGTATAAAGAGAAACATAAAAAAAGTTCTTCACCTGTAAATCCACTAAAAACAGTCTTATTCCCATCCACCTCAGAGGAAGCAGAAATTTTTCGACGCGCCTTTTTAATTACACGACTCTGTAATTCATCAGCTGGAGCAGTTTTGAATTGAGCACCAATCTCTTCGGAGTCATCACAATTAAGATCTGGATCGAGTGAACGCTTTTCGGACATGACGATATCAATTTAAATTACTTCCTTTTGAGGTTATTTGTAATATTTAATGATATGGTTTTTTTTTAAATTTGTGCAGTCAAACTTAATAAGTTAAAAGAATTAAATTACAAATATTACAATGATAGCTGTAATAATAGCTGTTGCATGTTCCGCCGATTTTGTAAACAATGCCAATAGCATTGATTGTCATTTTTCAAAATATTTCTATAAACACGGCAGCACTTTATTTGCAAACCGTGTTTACAGAATTTAATTTATATAGTAGGTCTGGTATAGAAAGTTTTAAAAAACTTAAAACTTGAAAAAACTTTATAAAGTAAGAAAATAAAAAATAAGAGAAAATTATGATTATAAATTATTTTCATTTTTTCAATGTTTTTTTAATTAAATAATAGCGGCCCTATTATAGGGCCCTTCACAAAGCCCTATTGAACGTATTTTTTGCACTAACTTTTAATTGAGAAAAAAGTTCTCAGATTACAAAATTTTTACATCCGATTTAAATTCAGAGTGTAAAAATAGAGTATGAGCTCTGTGAAATCGAAAAAATTAAGCACCTTGAGTATTATCTTAACATGAACTAATTTCTAAAAAGAATCCATATTTACAGTGAAAAGTGGAGGCAAATTTTTTTTTGACAGACCTGAATCTACTCTTATGTAAAAGAAGTTTAAAATTCGAATTCTAAGTTATTATAGTTTTTGTATGTTTTTTTGGTAAATAATTGCAATCAAAAATTCAATACAAATATAGATACAATATAAAATATTAAAAAATGAAAATACAATATTGAACCAATTTTTCTAATAAATTATGAATGTACTTTTAAAGTATCACAGAGATTTTTGAAATAGCGATTACACTAACTTACCACAACAACACTTAGCTTTTTTGACAGATATAAAATAAAATTTATACAAACAAGAACCGCGATTAAAGTTGCTATTCCTTACGATTTAATTCTTTTTGTGCCGATTTTGTATAGATTAAGCAAAGCTAAATTTCTAAATTTGATACAAACACTGTTAAAGAATATTTGGTGGAAAGAATAATTTTATATACATACAAAGCATAATAATTTTTTATAAGTTGGTAACATAATAATGTCTTCTAAACGTGTTGCTACCTCTGATTTAAATCACGATAATTGGGACAAGGAAGAAGAACCAGAAGAAGCTGGGACTTTCAAAGTTGCCCCAAAGGAAGAGCTTGAAACACGTGTAATAAAAAAAGCTCGCAGAAGAATAGAAAAAGAAGACAAAGCCGATGGTGGAGATAAAAATAAAAGTGTATTTGCATCTTTTGCAGGTATGAAAACCTAATAATTGTATGTATATGCATGTAGTTTCTAAACAAGAAATTCGTAGGCTTTAAAAGTGTCACAGACTGTCCATTTTCTTTTTTAACGAAAAAAATGGAAGATAATAAAGAAGCAACTACTTCTAATATTGAGTCTTTGAATTCAGGTGATTTAAAGCATGCACAAAATGAAGGTATATTACCTATTTAATGTTTGGCTATATGTATGTATGATTATTTTTATTTGGTTTTTTAAAGGTTTAAAAAATACGGAAGCGAAATCTTCATCATTCACGTTTTCGCCAAAAATGAGTAGTAATGGAGAAGGCTTAGATTCTGAAAATTCAAAGAAAATGCTTAATATAGTCGAAAAATTAAATAAGCAGTTTATTGTGTGGTTGACAGATTTGTTAGAAAAGGATCCTAAGCGAAATTTTAATTCATTTTTAAAGCAATATGAGTGTTCTCTTGAAAAACTAATTGATTCTAAAGAAATTGAAAGTCTTACAGCAACGGAAGAAAAATTTGAATTTGATGTTGGAAAAAATGGAGCTGATTCATTTGCGGCGTTCAAATTTCCGCCCACTTCTAAAGAGAGAATAAATGTTTTCGCTAATATTAAATGTCCCTTCTTGGAAAATTCAAAAACGACGTCAAACACTGAGGCATCACATGAACCTTTATTCGATTATTTAGAATTTAAGTCGTCAAATTTTGGAAAAGTTGATTTAAATTTAGATTTAGAACAAAATGTAGATGTTCCCAAGAACGAGTTTAAACCAGTTGTAGAAGAAGATAGTATTTATTCTCAAAGATGTAAAGTATTTACAAAAAAAGATGGTGATTTTAAAGACCGTGGCGTAGGTACACTATATTTAAAACCTGTGAAAGATTCAGAAAAAACTCAATTAATTGTTAGGGCTGATACTAATATAGGAAATATACTACTAAACTTCATTTTAAATAAATCTTTGCCTAGTCAACGTTTAGGCAAAAATAACGTAATGTTAATATGTATCCCAACACCCGAAAGTGAGCAGAAGCCGGTCTCAGTTTTAATAAGAGTAAAAACGGAACAAGACGCTGACCAATTATTTGAAAACATTGAAAAATATAAAAAATAAAATTTCGATATAAACTTTGTAAAAGTTATTATTTATAATATTATTTTGTATATATACTTAATTGCAGTTGAATTCTGAAAATTCGCAGGTTCGTTTTGTTCAAGTTTTTTTTTTTTTTTAATTTTATCAAATCCCAATGTAATTTTTAGGCAATGTACTTTTTATATTATCAATATATATGTATGTCATGTAAAATTCCGAATTAATTTAATCCTATTTTGAATTTTCAGGTACGAAAATATTATTAGCATAAATAAAAGTTTGGTTTCTTATAAAGATTCTTTTATTTATTTTCTTCATTAAAAATGCCAAAGTTTGATAGTTGTTTCTTTTTTAAATTTAGTGAATTTTATACCAATAAATTTTTCCAGAGATTCGTTTTGTAAAATTAGGTAAGAGAATAGCTGATTGTCACTCTATCTACGGATTTAAACAACTAGATCAATAATCAGAAAATTAATGGAAAGGCAAAAAAAATTAAAAGTTATGTAAATATTTAAAAGCATTTTAATAAATTTTAATCGTTTCCTAAAAGTATTTTTTTGTGTCTATATTGAAATATGTGTATGCATTGCATATCAGAATGTAATTTATACAAAAGAATTGTTTGTTCATTAAACTCATTTATAGCACTGACCAGTTTTCAATCTTAGACAGGACAATTAACCTTAATTTTAGATCCAACAGTGTAGAAATAAAACTTTTTTCTGAAAATTTTTTTTCTGTTTGATATATGTACATACATATATACACAAATAAATTTTTTTACTTAAATATTAAATGTGTTAAATTTAGTAAAATTTAAAGGAGTCAAAAACTAAAATGCAATTAAATTATTTTCTTTTCTATTTGTTCTTTTCATATAATTGTTAATATTTTTTTATATATGTAATGTAAAACTAAAGTCAAACTATAATTATTTTTTATAAAGTACTACACATAGTCCATCAACTGATAGAATATATTCGAAAATATTCTATATTATAGAAATTAGATCAAGGGATAATATTAAACTTGCAAATTAACTTCTTAACTGTTATGTAGACATGATTCCTAGGTTACTTAATAAGAATTTTTCTGTTTAGTTGAAAATAAATATACGATTATATTAACATATTAATTAAAAATAATATTTAAGATTAAATATTATTTTTAATTTTAAAACAATAGGTTAATATTAACATAGAAAAAAAGAAAAAGTAACTTTGACAAACTGTAACACAATGCAGATACTTTTTTTATGTTAGTACATATTTTATGATTGTGTATTAAATTTTTTAAAGCTCTATAGCAATATACATATTATATTCTACATTATTATACATATGTTAGTGTGTAATTTAATTTTTAATAGTGAATTGTATCATTCGGTTTATGATATCCTTTAAAAGTTTAATTATGTATAATGAATGATATTTTAATATAAAATTCCACATTCTTATTTATCCTGTGTTTTATTAGAATAAAATTAATTAGCATACTTGTATGAAGAGTTTTTTAAAGGCTGGTCTAATACTACTTTTTTTTTTTTTTAATTTGTTATGCTTATTTTTTTAAACTTTTGTACCAGGTTGTCGATTATCACCAATAACTAAGTTAAATACATACATAAGACATAGTATAATGTTAAGTATATGATTTTAGTAGCTTTATGAATATTAATTATACAGTATGTATATGTAAATATGTATCTAAAGCAAGCATGAAGCATCTTTTCAATTGTAATATATTATTCAAACATATATTTACACGCATGTATAAACATAATGTCGGTATGTAGATATAATCAATATAGAAATTGTGTTTCTTTTTTTTTTCTTTGAGGAAAAAAGTTATTCAATGGGTCATTTACCGATCACTGTGTTTTTAGAAATACCTGTTCAAAAGTAGAGGAGCATATTAATACTAAGTTCTTTTTTATGCTATATTTTTGCTATTCCGAATATTCGTTTTTTTTTCCGAATGTAGAAGTTCTTCAAAAAATTTAAACTTACTTGAAGTAACAAATAAAAAAAAAAGACAAGATAATTTAAATGTCTTATGTCTATACATAAAAAGGTTTAAAAGGAAAGTATAAAAGATCAAGTTTAGTCTATTAGTCGATTTAGTTAGCGGAAGTTGTTAGAGTTGTTAAGGTTGATATTAAAAAGATCATTCCGTTTAAATTTAATTGATCTGATCTAAATTACTTCAAATTTTAAATTAAATTTTTTATACTACTTTTTTTTTTTTATAGTTTGAATTATTTTATTTAAAATTTCTATAAAAATAAAACAATGAAGTTTTTTGATTCTTTAGTATCAGTTTTAATATTTTTACTTTTAAATTATTTCAATAATGTTGATAGTGTAGCAAGATATTCGCGAAAACATTATGCAACATCTGGTTATTGTTCCAGCACATATAAAAGTTTATGTGGTTATGGTGCCAATCATGTAGGATGTGTCACTAGGGTCAGTTTAAAAAAAATTCTTTTATTATTAGAATATTATAATTTTAATGTTTTAAATTTTAAATAAAATTTAGAAAAAAAAAAACCAAAAATAAAATATTAAAAAAACAAGATTATAATTAAAGAACTGGATTTTATATTTTAGAAAATGGTGATTTTTTTTTTTTTGAAATTTCGGTATTTTGATAAGCTTTGATAAGAAAAGATAAAAAAGAAATAAAAATTTATTTCAAAAATTATAACTTAACTGTAAACTTTTACTTTTTTTTTGGAAATACAATATCGTGTATAATGGTTATGTAATATGATGGTTGTATATGAAATTGTAAAAGAATTTCTTGGGAATTACAAGAAAAACATAAAAATACCTATTTAATTGATTAAGAAATAATAAATTTAGTGAAAAAATTTAAATATTAATTGTTATGATGAAGTTTGGGCACAATATTCGTAATTATTATATGATATTCATTTTAATTAGTATTAATATTGATATCTGTGTGAAAAATTTATAATTGGGACCCGTTTATTTTAATTTAGTAATTTTATTTGGAATTATTAAAAAAAAATAATATTCTAATTACATTTGTGCTCCACGATACTTTTAAAATTAAAAGAATAAGCTAAATTTAATCAGATTAAATTATAAGATTAAAGGTATTTATATTTACATTGCAAGTAGAAAATTTTGAAAAAACTCCAAAAAATTGGAAATTTCAAATACATGGAGGTTAAATATACTTGTATTGTATTATATTCGCAGATAAATTATTTTTGTGGTATAATTCAGATAAAATACTCATAAATGCATTTTTTTAAATATTCCCGATATCTTATCAACTTAACTTAATTCATTAATTTATTGATACTTATTAATTACTTTGAATCTTACATTCAATAAAAATAATAAAAATTAAAAAGCTTCAAAGATTTTTTTTACACTTATGTGTAATACGGCTTGTATATAAATATATTCATGTACAATTTCAAATTTTATTTTAGCAATGCCAGGAAGAAAAAAAACTCGAAAAAAAAATCATAAAAATACTATCGCTTTGTGTAATAACGGTATAAATAGTAAGAGTAAAACTTTTCACAGGAATTAAATTAAAAAATTCAATTAAAATAAAAATTCATTGACGATTTCTTTATGCAACAATAAAATCATTTTGGTTTTAATAAAAATAAATCACATTTATTTTTATTTTTTAAATTTTTTGTATTACAGTTAGTAGAAGATAATAAAATTAAAGAATTTTTGAATAAGAAAACAAGTTTTTAATAGTTTTTCGCAATTTCTATTATATATACGATTGTTTCGGATTAGAACGTGTCAGTTTTAATGAGCTTTTTTTGGTAAAAAAAAGAAAACAATTTTTTTATACCTAATTAAATAACCAATTTAATCGTATTCAAATTTAATTTATCACATTAGAATTACGAGCGAGAAAAATATACTTGTATATACTTATGTAATATATAAATAAATATTTGAGTTTTTTCTTTAAAATTGACTTAAATTTCAATTTATAAAAAATAAATTTATATGAGCTTAGTGCAATTAATAGTTTGATAGATCAGAGATTTCCAAGGTACAGAGATTTTAACGAGTTATAAGAGTTAAATTTATACTTCCTCAAAAATTTTTTCCTGTAACTTCTCTTCAGAAAACGATAGAAGCTTCAGACAAAGAATTTTTAAAAGAGCTTGTAAAGAGCTTGAAATCAAATTTAAGGCTATAAGAAAATCTAGATTATTTAGGGTATATTTCAGAGCTAAAACAAAAAAAAACTGCTATCAATTGGATTTTATGGTGTTCTTTAATTTATTGAATAAATATGTAAAACAAAAATATTTGGAAAATATTTAAATTTTTAGTTATCAATGAATATTTGATGCACTGAAGGTATTTTAAACCTATAAGTATTAAAATTAGTAAATCTATGTGTACTAAAATTTAAAGTCATTAATCAACCATACATGCAAAGCAATTATAATTTTTAAAAATTTTTGAATTTTTTTAACTTTTGCTAGTAAAATGCAGTAATTAAAGCAAATAACTTTAATATTTTATTTTAAAATTAATTTTTTTATAATGAAAGCATTTGCATAATATTCTCTTATATACTAAATTAAAAATCGATCATTAAATGATTAATTACAATGAAAATCGAAAATAATGAAAAAAAATAAATCGAATTTTAATTAATCGATTTCTCAAAATAACACAAAAAAAAATTAATTATTTCATTTTAAATTGAAATTTATGATTGTTTTTGTTTTTAAATTATTTTGAACTACAAAAATAATTTTGAATACCAGATTTATCTTAATGATAAAGGTCAATTGATTTTAATTAAACCATTTTTTTCATTTTATCTTTAATCTCTCGCATTTTAAATCTTAATTAGTGCATGAGATTTTTCTTGTTAATTTCGGGTCATTGTCCAAAATATATTGCCATTATAGTATAGATACTATAATATTATAATTTGAAGATAATTTCCAATTAAAATGAAATGTAAAGTGGTAAAGATTTGCAAAAAAAAAAAGTTATTTTGTGTTTTTTGAATTTTAAATTGCAAATTGGCATAAACTATAAACTAAGACATTTTAATATCAAAGTTTTAATTGAATAATTTTAATATAAAATATGCTTATCGTTTAAAAATTTATGTACAACATATACTTATAATATTTTTTATTAGTAAAAATGAGTAAAATGATTAAAAATTTACTTACTCTAGGGATTTTCACCGAAATGTGCTCCAGGTACAGAAGTAATGCCAATGACTTCACAAATGCGTGCAGCATTTTTACATCATCATAATTCTTTAAGAAGTCAAGTAGCTATGGGACATGTACGTGGATATCCACCAGCAACTCGTATGGCAACTATGGTAAAGAATTTTATATTTTGAATTCAATCTAGAATAATTAAAATGATCTACATATATAAAATGCATGTATTTTATTTATATTTTCGAAAAATTATAGAGTTGGTCAGATGAATTAGCAAATTTAGCTGCTTTGAATACATATCAATGTGAAATTGAACATGATCAGTGTCGTGCAACTTTAGCATTTAGAACTCCTGGTCAAAATTTATGTACTAGAAGTGGACCATACGAAACATTACATGGCGTTATAAATCGCTGTATAAATGCTTGGTTTGAAGAGAAAACAATTGCAAAACCAAGTTATGTTGATTATTTAGTTGTCGAACCGCATTTGTAAGTTAATTATTAATTAATTTTGTTAATTCATTGTGAAATTTTTCTAATTTTTAAATTTTGATTTCCCGTTTTTTTTTTTTTGTTTTTTTAATAAATCTTTATAAATAAAGCAAACAATATGGACATTTTACACAAATGGTTGTTGATAAAGCTTATAAAGTTGGCTGTGCAGTAGTACGTTCACCATCATCATATTATGGTAAAAGATACTTTTTGGCATGTAATTATAGTGCATCACAAGTTATCGGTAGACCATTATATGTAAGAGGTAAAACTGGAAAATATTGTTCTACAGGAAGAAATGCATATTATCCTGGTTTATGCAATCCAAGTGAATCATTTCCATCAAATTAAATATTAAAATAAAAAAACAAGATAAAAAACACATATATAAGTATAACTAGATATAAATTTGAATTTGTGTACAATTAGAAATTATTTAATATAATATTATGAATATTTAAAGTTCGAAATATTGAAGAATTGGCGAAGATGACTTAAAGAGTATATTTCAATTAATGTAATTTAATAATATACAGTTGATATTATTGAATTGAAATTTTAGAATGTTATGTTCATATTTGATTTTTATTTTCACTTTAAAATTGAATAAAAAAATCAAAGCAATGAATTTAGTCAATTTAAATTTGCTTTTGTTGAATATTAATTTTAAAGAATAAGGTATAAAATATAGAAATATGAACTGAAATTAATAAAGCCACTTTGAAAAATTACAAAATTTTACAAATATTTTAGAATTGAAGTTACAAAACAAAAGAAAAAAATATTTATGACTTCTTCCGCTAACGTTATCATGAATATTAAAATATTGAAATATACGCAGCTATAATTTTAAAATTCTCGCCAATGATATCAAAATGTTGAAGAACTTTAAAATTTTTGCTAAAAGTAAGATAAAAAAATCTAACTGAACTTTTTTTTTAATAATATTTATTAAAATTAAAGTACAGTATTGCATAATTTATTAAGTAAATTTAAAAATTGTTTAAATGCATTTTTCTCATAAATATCATTGTAAAAGTATTTTATATTTTAAATATACATATGTATGTATATAGATTATGAGCATGTACCTTAAACAACTCACATTATTTTGTAACTTCCTATATAAATAACTTTAAATACATAATATAATGTAGACCCAATTTACATAATATGTATTTAAGTTCAAAAGAAAACAAGAATATTTTGAAAAATTATAAGTATTTTAATACATATATAAAAATTTTTTATAGATGAATATTGAAGTTTTATTTATTCAATTGGAATTATTCGAAATTATTTAAATTGTTATCTAATTTTAATAGCTATAATATACAGGTTCGTTTTTAATGGTATTTAAGTTCGAGTGTTATACTTAAAAAGAGAAACAACATAAGTAAGTATTTCACTTATGACCAGTTACAAACTTGACAACATTCTAGAAAATTTTATATAAATCAGAATTATTCTGCTATTAGGTCCAAAAACATTACTGGCAATCATTCAAATATTTTAAAACACATTTTGGTTAATATAAAAATAATTAAATAAATAATATGTTTTATAATTTATTTTAATATTCATTCATGAAAAGCTTACAAATATTATAAACGTGTAAATATACTTAAATTACTCAAAAGTTGTATTACTAAATGTACATACATATATAGTTGATGAAGAACTTGTTTTTTGTTCATTAAATTTGATTCATTCACAATTTGAAAAAAAAAATTTTTTTTACTATAATATTGCCATAAATAATTTGCCCGTATAATGTGTTCTTTTGATTGTAAATAAATACAATATTATAAAAATAAAACAAACTGTGCACGAGGAGGACCTACTTATTTTTTGTTTATATATTATAAAATTAACTTTAAAGGGTGTGTCCAAATATTATATATTTACAATTTCAATTAGAACTATAAAAATAAGGTGTGAAATAGTTTTTCCATCTGTTAATTGAATATAGCGAGATAACGTATTGTTTTATAATTTGATAAACATTTTAAATAAAAACTAGTTAATTAAATGTATGTATTACAATATACATATATATATGTATATCAATCAAATATACAGTTATTTTATTTTTAAAATTAATTCACACAATAATATTAAAAAAATGTTAAAATCAATGAAATAAAAAATAAAATCACATGCGCTCATTCATTTATTCAATTTATCTTCAAAGAATAAATGTCAGATAATATCAATAATTATCATATTAATATATGTATAACAAAATGTATATTATATAATATGATATGATTGTATGTTTGACTTACTAATCTATTCCCAATTTCTCATATTTATAGTACTGTATGATTGATTATGACTGTTATATAATATAACACAAAATTGCAAATTTTATTCATGTTTAATAATTATGTACATTTTTTCAAAATTTTTGCTATAATATTATGTCGGTTTCACACTATATTACTTATTCAACAGCACCATTTTGCATTCAATATTATTAAGTAATTTTAAAATTATCCTCCAACTTTTCTGAAAACAAAAAAAAACATAAAAAATTTCCGGCTAATTTATTTAGTTATTGTGAATGCATAGTATTGTTTTTGTTTTGGTTATATTTGCATAAGTCAAAAGAATGTCATCATATAATCAACAAATTAATGTTTGCAGAAACAAATTCTTCATAACAAAAAGCAAATAAAAACTTGCAATTCTTTTAAAAATACAATCATAATAATAATGTGGTGAATTTGGTTTATTTTTAGATAAGATATGTTAATATTACGAAAACCTTTGTTTCCAAATATTAACATATTTCAACAATAAAAATTTATGAGATTTTTTCATAAAATATTTGCAGAAAATTATTCGCAACACTATTTAGCAACATTTTTATTAAACAAACATAATATGAATAAAACCAAGCTTTCAAGCTTTGTTAAACAACCAATTTTTCATCATCATACCTATAGGTATTACTCGTATGGCATACATCTTATGCTTGTTCGGACCAACTACAAAAATATTAATGAATAATTCTTAAAAGTTTAAACTAAGACAAAATATTATACAAATTTTGCATAGAAATAAGGAAAAAACATTGTAAATCAACTTTTTTTGTTTCCGATTGGTATTAAGAAGTTTTAAACCTGACATATAGTTAGTATATACACACATATATAGTACATACTTAATAATATACGTAGAAATATAAATAAACATATACGGTTGTATGTATATTTGCATGAATTAAGAATTTTGAATTTTTTTCTCATGATTCTCATTGAATGAAATGCAAACTAATATGAAAATTTAAATGTCAAATTGTACTAAATATAAGATTATGTAACAGAAGAAATGTTATAAAACTAATATGAAGCTAGTCTTGTTTTTATAAAAATGATTGATTAAGAAAAAATTTGAATTTTGAAAAAATTTTGAATATTCTGCCACTTTCTACTTTTATTTTGTTATCCTATGCACAAGAGAGTTTTTAAATGTTGGATTTATTTTAGTAGATTTTATTGAATTATCATTTTAGCAAAAAGAATTCAATTCATATTACATTTTGGTACCCCATAGTATATTAATTCGAAAGAGGATAAAATATATTCTATGGGAGCGAGATAAATTCTATTGTAATATTTTTTTGTCAGTAGGACATAACAAAAATTCATTTTAGGCAATTTGTATAGCGATATAATAGTTGGTTAACACGTTTTTTTAATTTATTTTATTGCTCCATAAATGTAGTTTTCTATATATTATTTTGTTTATACATATTTACAAAATTAAAGCTTTCTATGAATCAATTACCTACTATAGCAATTTGTAACCTAAATTTGAACATTTCCTTTTAGCATTGACATTTTTGACAACTAAAATTTTTGGCGCGGATAGGATACTGGATTGAAAGAAAACGGTATATTGATATTATAGAATAGTGATTGAACGATAATTGAGAATAGCATTTCAATTATATAAAAATAGTTTAAAATGATTTTAGATGGCGGTTATAAGTATGAAATTTGTTTTTTGTTTCGGGGTTACAGCGGTGAAATTGCAAGGGGCCGATGTTTTCCTACTGAATAGACAGATTTTACAGCATATACAGGTTTTGTTGAACGAAAGTCGAAGATATTCTAAAGCCTTTATCTTTTATGGTATTGGTATTATTACTAGTATGTAGTCATAATAATTAAATATTGCCCATTTCTGGGCAGATGTCGCAAATAAGTTGCATTTGTCTTTCCTCTTCTTTATTTTTCCTTTTTCTTAACTAACTGTTTTAGGTTATTAAGTTTACTCTTCATTTTAATTGTTCTAAAATATTTCTTTTTTTCCATTTTTTCCAATAAAATGTCGAAATATAAAGGTTTTCTGTATTTTAATTACAATTAAATATGTGCTCGTTTTATATAAATGACATTTTAATGGTAATATTCACATAACAGAAATTATTACATTACTAATTATTTATGTATTCATTGTATATATATTTGTGGTTATATTATGTAATAATTCATAATATACATTTTATTTTATGATTATCCTCTATCATCATAAAAAAAGTCTTAATTAATTTTAAAAAGAAATGCCGAATTTCGTACGTTTGTCCCATTATATTTTTAATTAACCTATTATTTAAATATATATAAAACATAATTTTTTTAAATGAATTATGTTAACATGTTGGTAAACATAATAATATTATTAATATAATAATGCAAAAATATAATATTATTTATCTTTGTTAACAAGTTTTTGTTTGTTTAAAATAAAAATTTATTTTTGATAAATTAAATTATAATTTGTTATACGATTTGTTATACGATATTACTAAATTATATTATTAGCATATTAGTCATAATATTTTAAAAATCATAATTAAATTAAATCTCATTAAAAATAGAAAAGTATATTATAGAATATTTGACAATAATATGTTCACTGAAAAATCAATAATGCAATTTAAATAACAATATACAATTTACATAACAATATTTACAAATAAATGTACATACATACATATTATATTAAGAATATATAAAACACATCTTCTTTAACTTATTTCATATTTAATATTAAATATATTTATTAACAATAAAATTAAATAACTGGTAAGAATAATATTAATAATAAAAAAAAAACATTTATCGAAACAAACCATAATATTAAAAATATTATAATTCGATTAGTAAAGTTCAAGTTCAATGTCAGAGACGAATATTCGTTTTTCTTCTTTAAAAACTTTCCAACACTACCATACTTATTTAAAAATATGAATGCATGTATGTATACCTGTATATATCTAGGTAATTTTGTATGGATATTAATCAATGATAGAGTTAACTATATTGTATATATATAAT